GTTCTCTTTCTTTGATGAGTCCCTGCCTGGTTTTGGGATGAGGGTTATGATGCCTTCATAGAATGTGTTCGGTAGTGAACTTAGGGGAGAATTATTATTAAAGGAAATCTGTAAAAAGACAGACAGCTATTTGTTTTATCCTGATTGCTGGGGGATTTTTATAGGGCACAGGAAGTGCTTTTGACAGAATCTATGGTAATTGGTATTTTTAGCCTCTGCAAAGAGCACCATTTCACCTTTGACTTCCCTCCCTGGAACACACCTGAGAAAGAATGCTTCACTTCATTGGTGACTTCACTATTGAAATCTGCAAAATGATGCTGAGAAACTTAAAGTTTCTTAAACTTAAAGCTGCCTTTAACAGCCTCCCAAGCTGAAAGTGGTATCTTAACTTTTGCCACCCACAAAGAAGTAACAGCATGAGTTCGTTTATAATAGTAAACAAAAAATAAAAGCCAACAACCTAAATAAAGAATTGATCAAATAGCATAGGCCATTTATCTAGCAGAGTATTATGGTGTCATTAAAGCTGATCATATCTATGTGTGCTTATTGATGCATGCAAACATTTTCTATAAAAAGTTATATAAAAATTATACATTCTGAAAAATCATTTATACATCTGAATATATATAAATACATATATATGTATACCTATATACAAATTAAATGTATATATACACATTTATACACAGATATACATATATGTATATATAAACATTTACACATATAAACATATATCTATGTAACTGACTTTGTATTCTGATGTCTTTTGTGGAAAAAAGCATAAAGGGTCATACATTGAAGTGTAAAAAGTATTATGTTTGGACAACAACGTATGTTGGATAATTTCTTTCTTTCTTTTTTGTTCTATTTGCTTATCTTTTCCAGTTAGTCTATAAATTTGTTGGGGCAGCTAAGGGATGATCCTGGGTCTGTGGTCTGTGAGATGCCCCCAAACCAGGCCTAGCTTACACTTATCCAGCAGTCCCATTGTCCACACCATTCAGACCTGGAGAAACAAGAAATGAAATGCAGCTTCAGGGAAAATCTGTGATAGAAATTTTTGTATATGATGTGAGGTAGAGATTCAAAATATTTTCCCTGTTACTTCCCAAGCCTATCTTTTCTAAAACACAAACTTCTCTTTTTTTTCAATTCCATAGTTCTTGATGCTCTTTTATTTGGCCTGAAGAGTGAGGATTGTTTTTTTCCCCTGGGTCCTGTTTCTTGGGCCTACCTAGCCCACTTTTCCTCAATGAGGATGGAAGACAATGTGACTTCATTCTAGCAGCCCAAGTGTTCTGGTACTCAAGTTCAAGGCCTGGTGGGGACACATCTACCTCCCTATTAGCAATCATGATTTCAAAATGATGAGTTCCAGGTAACAGAAACAATGAAAAGCTGAAGACAGAGAGAGCAAGAAAGCCAACTTACTCTCCCCAGGAACACAGATCTCAAATTTCTCTCCTTTCCCTGCTTCCTCCTCAAGTCTAGGATGAACTAGTGAAAGCCAAAGCCAAAGGCACAAACAAGGGCAAAGGGCCACAAGGACACAGGAGAGGGAAGGGGGACAAAAGTCTGCCTGACCCTAATGACACCTGTTAAAGAGTCTTGTGACTACTTATTGTTCATAGAAACTTAAGGAGATTTAATCTGGTAAAGAAATGTTTCTTTCATAAAAGTCTTTATTTAGCACATCAGCCCTTGACAAGGACACACTCAGAGCTGAGAAGGAAACCAAAACAGACTCACTGCACTTGCCAGTATTTTCAATTTCTGGCATGACTTTAGAAGAGCGAGGCTGCCTCTCTGTTCTCAATAACAATTGACACGTGAGATGATTTCAAGGTGCCAGAGCCAGCTAGGGCCTCTGTCACCCCCAGAAGATGTATTTAAAACTCCCAAAATCCACCTGCTGCCAGCCTGCCACTGCAGCCATAGTTGGTTAACATTAGTGGAAGATGAGACAATCCTCTCCACCAAAGAGATCTTCTTCCCTCTTTCCTTCCCAACTCCTCTCTGTTTTTTGTTCCCTCTTACTCCTAGATTTCTTTCTTTGACTTGGCTTGACCTTAACCAAAGACAGCCATAAGCCTGGCCTGGTCTTATTAATGTTATGGGTTGAATTTATCCCCAGTTCATATGCTGGAGTCGTAAACTCTACATCTGTAAATGTGACCTTAGTTAGAGACAGAGCCTTGGCAGAGATAATCAAGGTAGAATGAGGTCATTAAAGTGGGCCCTAATGTAAGTGTTGGTGTCCTTGTAAGGTGGGTAAACATGGCAACATGTAGATACAAGGAGAATGCTATATACACATGAAGATGTTATTTATAAGCCAGGGAGAAGCTTCCTTGTCCACCCTTGGAAAGAACCAACTTTGCTGACACCTTGATCTGGGGACTTTTCAACTGTGAAGCAACAGGTTTCTGCTACACAAGCCCCCACTAGTGGAACACAGACATAGCAGACTAGTGTACCAAGTAAATCCTGAAGGAACATTCATGGCTTCCACATTAATGAGAAAGGAGAATGTGGAGAGCCATGCCTGCCCTCTGAGAGCCCATAACTCTAAGCAGTATTCAGAATGGACTACCTCATTCTTAAAAAATTCAAGAAGCTGGAGAAAATGAGATCAATGTATAGTCTCAACTGGTAATTTGGACTATATTTTTGAGGTGACCTCTATCCCTTTAAACTGCAGTGGAGAACAGACAGGAGGGACATGAGCACAGGAGAGGGGTAACTTGGGACTTACCTTCTTTGTGCATCATAGCAATAGCTGTCACTCCTGGGTACAAGCTTCCATTTTCATCCCAAATAGGAACAATAAAACAGTGGGCCCCTACGTAAGAAATAGAGATCCTTATTAACTCTCCCTTCTAATAATAATAAGCCTTACTCAATTCTTAGAACAGAATAAAATTAATTTGCCCCCAAACTCAGATTCACTCAGTGCTGTTTGTGAACTATGTGTGATGGCAAATAATGTCAAAATGCATGATAAATTTTATTGTCCTTCAATTTAGGAGATAAAGTTAGGACTCAATTTTTGACAAGATATAAAACAGCCTCACCAAGCAGAATTTGGTGTTAAGTGTTCACTGGAAACTGTGGGTACTGGATACAGTAACAGAGAAGAGAATTTTTTAGTCTGTGTAGATGACAAACCTTGAGATCTTCCCGTTATAAGGAGCTGGGCAAAGACAGCTGCATAATTCCCACTCATGGCATTTCCAATGTACATCTTCTGGGCATTTTCACATGGTGTGTCCATGACAAACTCCTACACAGAAACAGTAAAGACACAGAGCATTTCCTCCATATGGCTCATTTCAACTCCTTGGCTCAATTCACCAAATACTGTGAAAATACATCTACATTATGCTGGAGATTTCAGAGACAACAGAAAACCCAGCTAGCTCAATCTTGTACTATTCTATTGCTTCAGTACACACACTCACCACATGGGTTACCCTTAAACCTCATGCAAGGAGGGACCAGCTATGTTGCCAGTTCTGAGTACAGAGTACCTGCAACACATCAGGGAACCCAGGGGAAGTGGCAGAAAGCCGAGCTGCACACTTAATTGGAGTTGACAATATTGAAGATGTGGCTGAACTAAACTAACAAGCTATTGATCATGAAAAGATTATCTCAGATTTCATATTATAAAGTATATAGACTGTGCTTTCCTTTGGGCCAAGAAATACAGTCTTGAGGTCTAAGAAAACATTCTCTGGCATCTGTTTGTAGAGAGAAACTTTTCACATGTGCCAGGGCTTTTCAGAATCTTGCAGGGGCAAGCCGAGTCTTTTAAAGAGAAGTCTCTAGAGGCAGCCCTTGTCTTATCGAGCCAGCCAGGACTTCTCAAAGAGACGAGGTACTTTGAGGATGGAGGACATGTTCACCCTGTAGGGGAGGAAAGGAAGGAGCCAAGGAAATACTGGCCTGGCAGAGGAGCTCTCGTGAGACAGGGAAGAGGGCAAGAGGCCACTGGGCCCTATATATATCTGATACACACTGGGAAGAAGGCTTGTCACTTCTGGCAAGAGGTTCAGTGTGGAAAATTTGCATCAGCCAAAATGCTAGAGTTAAAACTAAACCTAAATAACACATACCATGTGTGCTGGTTGCTATTATAATTATTTATCAAAGGCCAGCAAAATAGTTAGTAATGCAAGCACTGAAAAGGAGAGGCATGGAGGCTTTGGTTAGAGAGCTTATAACCTTTATTTGTTTTTTGCTAGTTAGTATGGAGTATAAAAATAAAGCTATATTACTTCTTTACTACACATCCCACTAGCCATCTGATTCCCTACAAATAATAACAAAAGAATCAACCCACCAGAGTGTAAACTTGTTCAACCACTTTGGAAAGCAGTATGGAGGTTCCTTAAAAGACTCCACATAGAGCTCCCCTATGACCCAGCAATTGCACTTTTGGGCATTTACCCAAATGCTTACAAACAAGACCACACTACCAGTACGACTATGTTTATTGCAGCATTATTTACTATAGCTAAGATATGGAACCAACCTAGATGCCCCTCAGTAGCTGAATGGATCAAGAAAATGTGGTATATATACACAATGGAATTCTATGCCTCCATCAGAAAGAATGACATTGCCCCATTTGTTAGGAAATGGAAAGACTTGGAAAAAATTATATTAAGTGAAGTAAGCCAGGCCCAAAGAAACATAGGTCCCATGGTTTCCCTTATTTGCAATAACTAGTATATGTCTGAGTCAAGCAGAAAAGGTCAGATAAGGTGCTGTTAGGGAAATGAACCCTAAGATATGTATTCAAATGTTTTTTTTTCTTTCATGCAATTGTTTCTAACACATTTATCAGATTATTTCTTTGTTGCTTTGTATGTCCCTCCCCCACAGTATAATCCCTGCTTTCACTGTATTTGATGTCGGCATAATTTATGGAGGGGAAGGGGAAAAACAAATCATTTAAATAGGGATACAGATGGACCCATTGCAACAATGAGATGTACAAGTTGTTATGTCAAAACGAACTTTACAACTTTGGTGTGGAGGGTGGGGGGGAGGGGGAGGGGGCGGGGAGGATTGGGTGGGGGGCAGGGGGAGGATGGGAAGGGATAGGAAGGGGAAACAAAGGAGGAGGCTACAATGCTTGATAAGAAATGTACTCATCTTCTTCCCCATGTAATTGTAACCCCTCTGTACAGTATTTTCACAATAAAAAAAAGAATCAATCCACCAGAATGAATAACCAACACACACACACACACACACACACACACACACACACACACACAGAGCAGAAAATTTCATACTCCTGGAGGGAGGGATCATTTACATGCTTGAATTTTTTCAAAGGGAAATACAGAGGGAACAAGAACCAAATGAAGGGAAAAGATCCATTCCCTGCAGTGTCAGTTCTCGGCAGCATGAGTCTGTGATGAGTTTGTCCTCTTCCCACCCCCACAGGAGATACAGTGCCCCTCAGAGTCTCCTCATCATTATAACTGCAACTCTGTGACTCTCCTGTCAGAAAGTGGCAGCTGCAAAAGCCCACCAGGTAGTTAAATCATTTATGCTGTTCAGGGACAATGAGACCAAGACAGTAAATTGTTCTGTGGGGAAAAAAATAATTGTAAGAAAAAACAAATAAATAAGAATTGTGTGTGGTTTATCTCTCATCAGTACTAGTGACCTCAATACCACAGCTTGGGAGAAGAAAAAAATGGCCAGCCAAAACCCCCAAATTTGTTATGTAAGCAAGACATCACTGTCAAGCCACATCTGTACTCTGCATGCCTGCACATACACTGTTAAGGGTAGTTCCACATGTGACTCAGACTAACCTAGGAACTGTGTAACTATAGCCAGTTTCTTAACCACTGTGAGACTCAGTTCCCCCTTTTGTTAAAAAGGGACAATATTTTTCTATATAATTATAGAACATATAACAGAATGTTAAATGTAGAGTGCTTAGCTTAGTGCTTAGCACATTGGTGCTCAATTAACAGAGACCACTTAATGTCAAGTTGGTGGTGGGAATACAGAGCACCATACAGCAGGCCAACCATGGCTTATGGTGAATGTTCAGATACAGCAGTGCTTATTGTTTTCTTATTATGATCTTGTATGCCACTGGCCATTATAGAGAATTAACACCAAAGTGGAGAAAAGCAGGATATCCTCTCAGACAACCATCACCTGGCTCTGTCATTCTCAATATCAAACACCTCCAATGGATATCCATGAGGCAAAATCTAGATTCTAGTGTAATAGATACCAAAGGATAAGCTCAGAGGAAATGAAGAATAAACTGAGAACCCAAAGCCCCATGTGATTGCCCAAATCTGTACACTGTGCATGCCTACACATACAAATTTACAAAGACTCACTTCAGAAAGAACAATTTTTACTTACCCATAACAAATAAGAAACTATAAAGGAGAGGAGAGAAGGAAAGATGGTGGAAGGCCAATAGGGAGTCTATATAGCTTTCTGAAAAACCAGAGCTTTAAAATCGGACTGAATAGTCCATGCCCAGAGAGTCACACCAAGTGAGCTGTCATTGTACAGAGATTTTGGACAGAGAAGAAAGTTATAGGCAGCCTGCTTAAGAAGACAGATTTGAACACACACTAGCCATGGTGACCAGGATCATGGCAGTGGCCAGATAGATCTGGGAGAAAGGCACCAGTCAGAGTGCGCACAACTTTTCATTCACCTGCAGCATGAACTGGATGACTAGAAGCAGAAAACCACATCCTGCTGGCAATAGAGGGACACAGATTGAAGATGGTCCAAAAGACCAAGGGAAAGTGTGAGTACCCCCACAAAAAACCCTCACTCAGACAACAGCTTTTGGAAAGAAGCCCTCCTCACACCCAGGAAGAATGGTACCTTTGAGACTGACATAGAGCTGGCCGAGCAGTTAGCAGTTAACATGGGCCTGCGAGGCAGTGACTGCAGCACCATTTTCAACAGGGCAAAGGAATCTGACCAGTGAGACAGTTCCACCCAGGGGAAGGTAGCCTTATCAAGGAGGAGGAAGCTCCTCCCAAGGAAGGGGAGCTTTATCCACGGCAGGCACAATGAGAGGCGACCTGCCCTTCTGCAGCAAACAAAGGCATTCCAGTCATATAGCAGCTCAACCTGCAGCTTAGACAGCTACAGGAATTAAAAACCAAAAGTTTGTGAAATCTCACTGAAAAACAGAACAGAGCAAAACAACAACAACAAAAAAAAAAAAAACAGGATAAGCCATAAAAGCCAAGAGTGGCTCCAGGCTGGACCAAAAGAGAGTCTCAGGAACTAGCCCCTCTGGGAAAAGCCACTGATTCGACACACCACAGTCCTACCCACGCTCACTTGCATACACTTCAATCTAAAGAAACCAGCCACATCCTTTCTGCTTTACCACACAAACAAAACCCCCTTTCCCATTAAGTTAGGCGGGATGAGGGGCACAAAGACTCCCAAGTTTGTAAGGCAGAACTTTTTTCTGCCATCTAAATCTCAAGAAAAACTGACCACCAAAAGGAAATCAAAGGCTCCCTCAAGAAACTAGTTGTGGGCATTGGGGAGACACAAAGTCCCCCAAATAAATTGAAGATTTAAATTTTTTTCTATTTGTGCTTTTCTATTTTTAAAACTAATTAATTTTTTTCTTTTTCACTGATGTTTTTATTCCTAGATATACAGCCTACAGTGATTACTAGGTTTCCTCCTTGTGTGCATCTTAATTCAGGCAATGTTTTGATTACTCAATTTTCTATTTCTCAATCTTAGTATTTTTGATTTTTTTATACATATATTTCTTAATTTTTTTTCTCTGAATTTAGATCTTAGCTTAATTCCTTATGGTCCTTTCCTTTTCTATATTCTATTCTTATTTTTCTCCTCCTTGTATTTTTCATTGTATCTCTTAATCTTTCTTTTAATTTCATCTTAACAAATTTTCCTTTATTTCTGGCCCTTAGCTCTCTCTTCATTTTCTTTAGTCCATTGATTACTAGTTGTTTGTCTTCAACTAGACTGTGTCTGCATCTATTTTGATTGTTTCAACCTGGTTATTCTTTCGGTTCAGATTGCTTTAAAACACATGACAGATTTGTTCACTTATCACAGCTATACATAATTCCCACTTATGAATCACAATAACCCTCCCCTTAAAAAGAAAAGTAGACGTAAATAGGGAAATACCTATCTATCATTTTAACCTCTAAAGTTGGTTCAATTACAAGGCTCTGAGTTGGTTTATTTATTTTTTATTTTTTTGATGGTCATGGGGCCTGAACTCTGGTCCTGGGTGCTGTCCCTCAGCTCTTCACTCAAGGTTAACACTCTACCACTTTAGCCACAGGGCCATTCCGGCTTTTTTCTGGCTTATGTGTTGCTGAGGAATCAAACCAAGGGCCTCATGCATGCAAGGCAAGCACTCTACCATGAGGCACCTGCCCAGCCCCTGGTTTTTATTTTAAAATTGTGTTCTCCTGTGGTCTTGGATCAGCTTTTGTCTCCATAAAGGAGAGGTGGAGAGAAAATACCTATCGATGATTGTGAACCTCTAAAGTCTGTTCAACTACAGGGATCTGCGTTGGTTGTTATCTGAAAATTGTGTTCTGTTATGGTATTAGATTTGCTTTCATTTCCAAATGGTCAGAACAACCCATAGAAACACAAGAAAAATGGCAAGTCAAGGAACCTCAAAATAAACAGGCAACAGAGCAGTCAATGGAAAATCTGCAAGATAATACTCAAAATGCTCTACAAACACTACTGGTAAACATACTGAATGAAAAGATTGGAGCCTGTGCATGGTTATGTGTGAGCATGATGGGGCTAACCAAAGATTAATAGAGAAATTAATGGAATCCACAAACAGGAAGCTGAATGAATTCCAACAGAAAGAAAGTGAGTCCAATGAAAATATAGCCACTCAACTAAAGGATTTGAGAGAAAACACTGAAAATCAAACAAAGGAGGTAAAGAAGTCCATACAAGATCTTAAACAAAGCTTCAACAAAGAAATTAAAGCCATAAAAAATGACCAATTAGAAGGCAGGGAAATAAAGACAAAGTAGAAAGTCTTGACAGCAGATTGGATGATGCAGAAAGGCAAATCTCTGGAACTGAAGATAGTCTAGACTTTACAGAGAAAGAACAAACAAATATTCAAAACAAATCCAAGAAATAAGATATATCACTAAAAGAGTTGTAAGACACAATCAGAAGGACTAATTTAAGGTGAATAGATATTGAAGAAAGACTAGAGAAGAAAGCTAAAGGGATAGGAAATATATTGAACAGAATCATAGCAGAGAAGTTCTCAAACATCCAAAAGGATAGCCCTATTCAAATACAAGAAGCCTTTAAAACTCCAAACAGACCAGATAAGAACAGGACATCCCACTAAGACATTGTAATCATCACAGGATCAACAGAGACCAAGGAAAGGATCCTTAAAGCTATGGGAGAAAAAAAATCACCTACAAAGGAATACTGATCAGAATAACTACAGATTTCTCAGCAGAGACCATGAAAGTAAGAAGAGCCTGGAATGAAGCATGCCATGCCCTAAAAACAAACAACTATCAACCAAGAATACTGTACCCAGCTAAACTCTCCTTCATAACTGAGGGACAAATAAATACCTTCCACAATAAAGAAAAATTGAAACACTGTATCTCCACCAAACCAGGATTACAAAAGATACTTAAAGATGTCCAACAAGAACATGATATAGGCAGAAAAACGTCCCCCAAACAGAGAATCAGATAATCTTATTAAGAATTGATGAGGCACAGCCCCTAAGAAGGTAGATAACATGGCAGGAACTACCAAACACCTCTCAATCCTGACTCTATTAATGGGCTTAACTCTCCAATTAAACCATATTGATTGACTAGTTTGATCTAAAAGCAAGATCCATCTATCTTCTGTCTTCAAGAGACATACCTTGCCCACAAAAACAAACATTCTGAAAGGAAAAATCTATCAAGCAAATGGCCCCATAAGCAGGCCAGAGTTGCAATCCTAATTTCAGATAAAATAGAACCTCAAATTAAAATTAGTGAGAAGAGATAAAGAGGGACATTACATAATAATAAAGGGATCTATCCAACAGAAGGATATAACAATTCTAAATATCTATATGCTAAATACCAGAGAACTCAAATTCATCAAGCAAATACTACTTACCTTAAAATCACACATAGATCCAAGAACATTGATTTTTGGTGACTTTAACAAACCTCCAACACCTCTTGATAGATCATCCAGAAAAAAGTCAACAGAGAAACCTGAGACAATTGCACAGACCAACTAGACTTAACAGACAGCTACAGAATGTTCACTCACCAGCATCAGAATATATGTTCTTCTCAGCAGCACATGGAACAGTCTCAAAAATAGATCATATTTTAGATCACAATGCAAATGTGTGCAAATTCAGAAATATTGAAACTATTCCCTGCATTCTCAGACCACAATGGAATAAAATTAGAGCTCAACACCAAAAGCCACCATAGAAAATTCTGTAACTTATGGAGACTAAAAAACAATTAAAAAATTTTTTTAATGAATGAGGAAAGTTTCTAGACAGAATTGGGTAAGAAATTACATAAGAGAGTTTTCTCCTTACATGTTGGGGCCAATTGTGGACAGAGGGATCAATCTAGACTTTTTGTTTTTTGGTTTGTTTGTTTAAAGTAAAGAACCTAGTGGCTCTACCCTTGACCCACACTTTCAACACAATATGGAGGGGCTGGGAAGGTGACTCAGTGGTAGAGCACTTGCCTTGCATGCTTGAGGCCCTGGGTTCGATTCCTCAGCACCACATAAGCAGAAAAGTCGGAAGTGGCACTGTGACTCAGGTGGTAGAGCACTGGCCTTGAGCTGAAGAGCTGAGAGACAGCACCTAGGCCCAGAGTTCAGGTCCCACAACTGACAAAAAAGTAAAGGAAAATCCTGACCAAAATGTTTATTTAATTAATAAGAAAGGGAAATAAATAATAACAGGAAAAAATAAAATAATGAAAGAAAGAAGTGAGAAGAAAAATATCATAATTCATCACATAGTAAAAGTAAAAAAGTATGGCTGGTAAAACCTTTGAGTTGTCATGTAGAGTGTTAGCACAAGTCACAGTTAGAACACTGCATAATACAGTTGACCTTCCGTGTCCTCAGCTTCAAACAATGTCAGATTTAAACTATTTTTAATTGAGTTTATACTGAACATATGCAGACACTTTTTCTTGTCATTGTTCCCTAAAGAATAGTTTATCCAAAATGCTTAAATAGGGATACAGGTTGACCCGTTGTAACAATGAGATGTACTTTACAACTACGGGTGAGGGGAGTTGGAGAGGTAGGGAGGGAAGGAATGGTAGGGGAAAAACAAAGAAAGGGGTAACAATGCTTGGTAGGAAATGTACTCATTACCTTACTAACCCCTCTGTATAGTATCTTTCCAATAAAAAGTATATCTTAAAAATATATTAAAAAATTTTTAAAAGAATATAGTTTATCAAGAGGCTGAATCTGAGAATCACAGTTCAAGCCAACCTAGGCAGGAAACTTCATGAGACTCTTATCTCCAATTAACCACCAAAAACCAGAAGTAGATCTGTGGCTCAAGTGGTAGAGTACTAGTCTTGAGTAAAAAACCTCAGGGGCAATGTCCATGACCTGATTTCAAGCCCCAGGACTAACACACACATACAAAAAGAAAATAGTTTAACAAGTGCTTAAATGGCATTTGCATTGTATGAGGGATATAAGTAATACAGATATGATCTAAAGTATACAAGAGGGTGTGCAAAGAAAGGCTCTTTGCAAGTATCACATCATCTTCTATAAAGGACTAGAGCTTCCATGCATTTTGGTGTGCATATGGGTTTCTGAAACTTGTCCTCCATCTATCTGAAGGACAACTCTGCCAACAGGGAGGAATTGGCTACTGATAAAGAAGCCCCAGCTCTGGGAGTGTTGCCATAGCAATGGAGAATACCAACAAAGACACCTCCTCCAATCATTCATCTGCTCCTGTTAGGAAGAAAAACAACATGGCACTAGTGCTGCTAGTGAAGACTAAACTAGCATTAATGGTGTTACACAGGAAAGCTGAGCTTATGTCTACCTCTATTAAAATGTTTAGATGCATGTTCTTAATTTGAGCTCCTCAGCAAGAGAGCACAAGCAAAGGATACAAAGCTGGGCTCAGAAAGAATGACAGAATGCTTTGTCCAGGCCTCTACTGCCCTGAACCATGAAAAAAGGATCAGACTCCTCACCTGTGCAGCAAGGTCAAAGGCGGCTTCAGTCTGAATCCTTTTCACGTTGCTCCCATGGCCCCTCTCAGTCACTGCAAACATCCCAGTGTATTTTTGTTCCTGGATTCATCAGACAACAAAAGAGAATTAGCTGGTCAGATGGTTTCTAACTATGGCCCTCTGGGATCATTAGGGAAGATCATGATGGTGAGAAATGAAGGGGTGAATTGTCTCATGACAGACTCAACACAACATTTAAAAATAGATAGTTTTGAAGTTTTCATTCAGAACATCTTTTCTAACCCAAATTATGTCTTATTTCCCTTCTCCTCAAACAAAGTCACATTTAATGACAATGTATTTTTAAGGCTCTCCATTGAAGAAATTACCTATTAAGATATATCTCATACCTGGAGTACTGGCAACCACTTAGTAACATGTCCTAGACTTCAAGGATTCAGGATTTTACCACCAAATAGCCAATATAGTACTCCACACTAGAAATAAGGATGAGACAAACCATTATTAGCAATAACCAACAGCTTAATCATAATTAAAGCTACCAGCCAAACTCCTTTCCAGAAACAGCTGTTCAGCTTCTTGAACTTTACAAAAGTCCTGCAAATGACAAGTGTCTATGCCTTTCCCAGTCACTGCCTGACAAGCTCCAATTGCTCTCTGAAGACACAGCTCAAGGATCCCACTGTAAGAGAGGCTAACCCTAACTCCCCAGAGCCTATATCTTCAGGACTGACCAGTTCACACCATCAAATGGCTGCACTGATCTTGTCTTCTCAGGTCCTAGCTTGGTTCCTTACATGTAAAAGTCATAAATCTACATGCTGGGGACAATCAATGATGGACACTGACCACCATCTGCACAGGTGAATCTTGCCATGAACGTTAATCAGCAACAAAGAAGGATGATGGTAAATAGCAAAGCTGCAAATTGAGCAGGTGAATAGCCTAGACTTCAGTCCCAGTTACTTACTCACTGGCTGGAGGTCCTGGACAAATAACAGAGCCTCAGTTTCCTTATCTATCAAATGGAGTAAATGCTGATTGTGCCTATTTACAGTTACACACACACACACACACACACAAACATACACACACACACACACACATTCAATGATTCTCACAACAACTCTGTAAGGAAAACATTGTCACACCCACTTGACAGATGAGCATGGTGAGGTTCCCAGATGGAAGCAACTTGCCCAAGGTCACTCCCTGACCTGAGAAAGAGGAAAGGACTAGGTTCCAAGTCAAGCTTGGAAAAGTGTTGTTGATGAGGAAGAAAGGAGGAGGGTGAGGGAGAGGACCCAGGAGGAAGGATGAGCATCTAGAACAAGATCACTTGGAAGGAGAAAAGCTACTGATTTCAAGGACAGAAGGACACAAGTGCACAGACATTTGTTGGCCTGAAGGTCATCATTACTTCCCCTTTTAGCCACACAACTCCAATTTTCCCCTGGGGAACTCTCTTTCCCTAGAGTGGGTCCAAGTAGTTTGTGAGTGATGTGGACCCTGTCTCAGACTTTAGAATGAATGGTGACCCAGGCTGACTGTGCTGGATCACCATCCTGCCACAGGATGGCTTCAAGAATGGACCATGATCTGGATGGTTCCATTCTAACTGGCTGCAAGGATATGTGATAAAGAGGAGCTGCTGCTTTGGTGTAATAGAATCTGGAGGGACTAAGGCCTGGGGCTGCTGACAGTCAAGAGAAGAGAGAAATCAAGCCCCACACCTGAAGCCCACTGTACCCTTGCACTCTTCAATGATAAGAATAAATTTTCACCAAACAAGTTTAGATCAGATATTTTTTCTGGGACCACTGGCAATTGAATGAGTCTCCTGCTCCCCATGTGAGAGGTCAGGCTGGCATCAACTTCATGAGTGGTGCTCTATCAGCTCCAATCATATTACACTCTGATACTGGAAGTTATAGGTGATTAGAAGAATTCCTCATCATCCTAAACAAAACTCTGTGCCTTACAACAACAGCTCCCCATGCACCCTTCCCCCAGCCTCTGACATCTCTAATATTCCTTGTGTCTCTGAATCTGTGTATTTTATATGCTTTGAGTGGGTTCAAGCAGTATTTATCCTTCATGTCTGGCTTATTTTATTTAACACAACATCCTGAAGGTTTATCAATATTGTAGCATATATTAGGGTTTCATTCTTTTAGTGGCTGAATAATAATACATTGTGTGTATACACTATACCTATATGCAAATGGGCACAGAGTATGTTATGATAGAAAATGAAAGCAGATGACAGATACAAAAGCAGATGGCAATGAGTAAATGGGATTCAAATCACAAGCTTGAGAGGGGCTTGCTGAAGAAGGAACACTTCAGCTGGGACCTGAATAAGTGCAGGTGTCAGCTAGGTGAAAGAGGAAAAAGATCAAAATCCAAAAATGGGCCTTGGAAACAAAAAGAGGTGGAGCTCACCTGAGGAACGAGTTTGGAACAAAGTTATCTGGAAAGGTAAAACAGACAAGTATAATGATTTCAGTCTTGTCTAGCTTCTGGCCCATTTTGCTTCATCTCCCCCATCACCATTCATTTTCCTTTCCTATGTCCTGGGTTTTCAAGAAAATCTCAGGTTATCTTGAAATTTACTCCAGATACTGTGTCACTTTATCACTACATATTTCCGACATATCTATAAAACCATTATCCTACCTAAAAATATAATATCAATTCTTTAGTATTCCAAATGCTCACTCTTCAAATTTTTCCAGCTGACACAATTTCTTTTAGTTTGCTGACTGAGCCAGAATCTAAATAAAGGTCATACACTGAAATGTTTCTTGTATTCCCTTTAAACCATAGGCCACTCATCCTTCCTTCCTTCTTTCCTTCCTTCATTCATTCCCCATGCAACTGTGTCTACTAGGCTCAGTGTAAGATGCTGGAGACATGAAGACAGGGATCTCCATACAGAGCACTGGCACACTCTGAGATGTTACCATGGTTACAGCCCTCCAGAGGGTTGCTGAAGAGAAGGAAGGCAGGAACATAAGGGTAGGAAATACCCCAGTACACACTGGGATCCTAATTCCAAACCAGGACCCTCCAATATTTCTGAAAGAGACAGACAGACAGACAGACAGATAGAAATAGAGAGACAGAGAGATCTGTCTCATTTCACTGATAATCCTACTCTGAAAGACACAGCCAACCTACTCAGAATAGAAGGAAGAGCCCCTGCCTGGCTGAAATTATAGGGAGGCCAAACCCCTAGTGCTGAGAGCCCTCCCCACATGATACATCTCAGGCTTCTATTTTTAAAATTGCTATTTATAGGGAACTTCTACACAGAAGAGAAATGATGGCTGCCCAGCATCCTGCCCCATCAATGCTGTCTTTATGTTCTAGTCATAATCTCTCCTCTTTGGAGACATCACGGCTAGATATTTGGATATAGGAGCTTGTTTGTAGAGCCATTTGTGGCCTGGAGAAGAAAGGGGGACATGTGGTTCACATGAAAGGACAAAAAAGGGAAACAGGGCACTGTAAGGGACAGGCAAAGTCACACCTATCTGAGCTATTCCACTTACTATGCTTGGTGAACTGGAACACACAAGGCAAATCCACAATGGGAAGTTTCAGAACTCCAAGTGTGGAAGAGAATGTAGAACAGATTCGATCGTGTGCTATTGATAGGAATATGAATTGATGCAGCAGCATTGCAGAATAGACTGACTATCCTTTAATAGTAAATATTGATGTGTTCTGTAAATAGCAACACCATTGCTATTTAAGTACTTAAGGAAAGCATTTAGCCATGGAGAGGGGTAGAAGAATGAATGGGGGAAATGAGTGGAATGCAGGCAGGAATGCACTGTATATGCCACAGACTTGAGAAAAATAAGGGAAGAGGTGGGTCAAAAGAGGGTGAATATGACGAAGGGATGACAGGATTACACAGATCAAGATACATTGTATACATGAACTGCTTTGTTAAATATTTTAAAAATCCAATATATAACCTAAAAATTAAGAAAAGCGAGGGAAGGAGTAGGATGAAAGTACTGGGTGAGAATATTAATCAAGAGGTACTATATTCATAAATCTCTCTGTTGAATGGCAACTCCTTTGTACGACTACTTAAAGAAAAGAAAAATTGGGGTGTGGGGGGGAAAAAAAGAAAAGAAAAATATATTTTTAAAAAAGTAATAATTAGCATTTTTTCATAAGCACAGGGAATCGGAAAAGCCACCACTTAAGTGGCCAAATTGGGAATCTTTATTGGAGAGCCAGTGGACTGCTGGTGGACTCTTGTCTCAAAGACCAACAGCCGTGAATGCAACTAGCACAAAGCTTATATAGGCCAAAATCACATAAGATGTGAGGAATTTATCCTAACAAAAGTGTTATACATAAGCAGAGAAAATCAGATGAGGACACTTAAACCTAATACAGGTGTTAAATATAAGCAAAGCAAAGCAGATGAAGACACAATCAAGGGGAAATCAAGGCCAATTATCTAAGTGAAATAAGAATTTCCTGGAGTTAAACAACTCAGGACACTTTCAGTAATACAAAGAATATCCTCTATTACTTGTACAGTTTTTTAGACCTGTGTAGAAAGCCCCCTCCAGCCAGCAAGGCACCAAGATGGCTGGAAGGGCAAGGCATATTGCTTCAAGGCATATTGCTTAGACCCAGTCTCCTTATTTCAATACAATAAAAAGTGGACCACTTAATTGACAGACACCTCTCAGGCTTTGTCTGGCCTTCGCCAAGCTTGTGCCTTAGACTTCCCAGTGTTGCTGCCCTTTGCAAGCTGGGCACATGTGAGATCTGATCGGTGTCCAGGCAACAATCCTGATGTGAGAGGACAGAGGAGTATGAAGGTTTGGAAACGTTTTAGACACAAGAAAAGCCACACTCTTCACTTTTCTAAATATTGGCCATATCTGAGCTTTAATTATTTAAAAACTAGGAAGTCCTGGTCATCCTTTAGATCTCAATTTCCTCCCATTGTACCAAACACCCACAGCATCCAAAACTAGATGCACACTCTTCTTGACAAGCCAAAAGTGAGAGAGGGACAAGACACTATTGCTGTCTTATTATAAAAAGTCAGAAATGGCCAATATTCCAGAGAGGGTGGTAGCCCTTTAAGTAGGCAAATTGGATGGTTAATTGTTGGAATTACTGATAATTATCTTCATTGACCAATCTCTTCTGAGACCTAGCCAACAAAACTGGTCCTTTACTGCACATGCATATGTAGACATGTGTATGTATGTACATGTCTATGCATGGATGTGACTATGGATTCTTAGTTATAATGTGTGCATGTCTATCCTTGTATATATTACATACATATAAACCTGTATGTATGCACAATCAATGCATGCATATACCTGGATGGACATGTATATATGTCTAACTGTGTGTGGCTTGGGTACATATACACACCTGCATACATGTGGATATATACACATACATGAATGTAGTTGATATATTCATGTACATATATGTCCCTATACACACGTGTCCATGCATGTGTATGCTGCCCCATCAAAAACAGGATGATACTCAACCTTCTCTGGATGGTTCTCAAGTTTCCATATTGGCTTAAGCTCTCCAATTACACTTCTCCTCCCATAGGTTTTACAATGTTTCTCTCAAGCATTATTAATTTTATTAAATAGCAAACTGTCAAGATTTATGATTCTCATCATAGCTCCAACCCAATGCATCTTGTATTGATTATTTCTTAAAATATCTCTAGGCTGGAGCATAAACCATCACATGGCTCCAGCTTGGGCTCACACTGGAAAGTCAGTCACCAGCAAATAATAAAAAACAACTGTAGCAGATATCTCCAGAGTTTCTGAGAGCCCAAGTGTCTTGTGTTACACAAATCATTTCAATAACCTTGGCCCTGCCTACAAGATGGAAAAGCTCAGGATCAGAGAGGTCAAGTGACTTGTCCAACCAGGGTCATTTCATAAGAGACAGAGCAAGAGCGAAAGAAGCCAGATCTTCAGATTCCTTATCTGAATTTTATGCCACTCACCCACTGCCTCCCATTATTAAGGACTCTGAGTGTCCTTAATCTGCCCTCCTCACTGTTCAATTTCTACTTTATACTGCCAGTCTTGTCACTAGAGAGCAGGACATCAACCTGATAATGTCCCACCAGGTAGCCTTCTTGA